ATGAAGGAAGGAAGATCCTAGCACCAGGAAGATCCGAGAAGGCGGATCATCCTAGCGCCTTATGCTTTCTGCGTTCAGTTTACATGCAAAACGTTGTATTTGTCCCTAGCGCAAGGAACTTCTTAATAAGTACTCTGATCTTTCTAGCTGACTGGTAGGAGGATCTAAGCATTATGTAAATTGCTTTCACTCTAAGAAGATCCTAGTGCAAGGGACAAACTACACAAAATGGTAGCAGGTCGTTCAGCTATAATCTTTAACTACTTCTCTACTGAACTTTAACTACCTCGCTACACGGACCGAAATGTCTGTATGTAAACGCAACGAAACATTGTTCCGCCTTCTAGGATCTTTCTCCCTCCATTAAACAGCCCCTTATACCTTTTCGCTATAACTGAGCGAAATGTGCATTTAAATTTTCTTGTATGCTGACTGCGTCACGGTCACTGAGGCTTCGTGGGATACCGGAGAGCCCGTAAGCAATACTTCTCTGTTAAGGCAAAAACAGACGCTGTTTGTTTTAAATTTCATTTTAAAGCGTAACCTTCTCGTTTTCTTGTGTTTATTTGTGTGCTGATTGCTATCCAGGGTTGGGTTGCAAAAAGCATCTTACGATTAAGGGAACTAGTAACTATTATTTCAAAACAATAGGTTATTGTTCCAGAACAAAAGTTTACGGCCCTCTTATCTTAAGAAGGTTTTATGCAACCTGGCTCAGGCCTCTTGGGCACATGTAAATGCCTTTTTATAGCCTGCGAGCAAGCTCTCCTATTTGGGCAAGCGAAGTGAGCATGGTGAGAACCCCCTGCCCCTCGCTCACGCGTTCTCGCGAGACTCGCTTCACTCGCCCAATTAGGAGAGCTTGCTCGCAGGCTAGCCTTTTTAGGCCTGCGAAACGTTGTAAAGCGGAAAGTTAAGTGTTCAAAAGGGTAATAAGCTGTCAAGAAATTCGCATAAATTGAAGTTTTCCCTGAAATCGTTGACGTTATCTTGCTTGATATGTGCTAAATGTGTACTTTGCTTAAAAATTGCCGAGAAAGGCAACACTTGCTCGAGGTTGAAAGAACAAAAAAAGAAAACGAGTTCAAACACCAAAAGTTGCATGCACAAACGTCGCCGAGCACAAGCCTCTCCGTTTACAGACCCTCCTAAATCCCGTTGCGAAACTTACGAAGATGTATAAGGCCAGGGCTTATAAAGGGTAGTCTACGGTACACGAGGAATGGAAACGTTATGCAATCTGCGCGCATAGTTTGAAAATTATATAATAATTGATACTAACTACCCAAACTACCTTTTACAGGGTTTCTTTCAATTGGCATTGCGTCAGTTGCAAGACCGGCTGGAACTAACTATTTTCTACAAACCATTCAAAGTTTGATCGACAGTACGAGCGATATGGACAAGAAAAACACTTATATTGTAATATTTCTTGCTGACATCGCAGAGTCACCAAAATCCACGGCAAAAACCGAGCTTTCAAGCACGTTCAGCAAATATATTGATGATGGTCTTTTGACAGTAATTGAAGCATATCCAGAATTTTATCCACCCCTGAATAACATAAAGAAAAAGTATGGCGACACGGATACCAGGAGAACATGGCGCTCAAAGGAAAACGTCGACGCAGCTTTCGTCATGTGCTACTGCAAGGATCTATCACGGTACTACATTCACCTCGAAGATGATATGATATCTTCGCCTAGCTTTTTCCCTAAACTGGAGAATTTTATTGAGATGCAAAGTGTTAAGCCTTGGCTAATGATTGATGCGGCCATAAAATGCAGCAAAGCCAAAGTTTTTCCCACAGAACACGTCGAAAATTTCGCTTCCTATATTTACGTCCTGTATGACGAATCGCCCATTGATTGGTTGATGAATGGCTGGCGGAAATTGAAGGGACATGGGGAAATCCGCTCGCCTTCGGCGTCACTTTTTCAGCACATTGGGGACCAATCCTCTCTCGCAGAAAAAGGATTTTCAGAAAATCTGCAGAGGGAACCATTTTTTGACCAATATGACCAAAAGTACAGGGGACGCAACCCCCCTGCCAGCGTTACTTCGTCAATGTCCTCTAACCAAGGAAAGCCACAAGATGCTTATGAGAAGGGTAGTGGCTATTTTTGGGCGAAAAATCCAAGAAAAGATGACTACGTCCTCATAAAATTTAACGCACCGACTGTTGTGAAAAAGGTGTTCATTGACACTGGGAGTTCTCATACACGGCAAGATGTGTTAAGGTCCGGTGATTTGGAGGCAAGCTTCGAGTCCACAGCCGGGGAAGTGAAGCCATCTAATATCAACAACCAGTGTGGAGAGTTTAAATTTCTGGGTGCATTCAACAAAGGGAAAGTAGAGTCAAATGTAGGTGACTCAAGAAGTGTCATTTGCTTAAGAATCACAGTTTTGCAAAACCAAGGGGAATGGCTGTACATTCGTGAAATCGATGTGTGGTAGAAGGTTGTAAAGGATCTGGTGGCTTGCGTCCATAGCCCACAACGAGCTCTGAAACTTTATGACGCTTACAAAGTGTAACATTTCTTAAAGACAAACGTAAAAGCAAGTGGCCCACTACCCTGCCAGCAGATCGAGCCTTTCTTTCGCTTGCTCGATTTTGGCCCAACTCACGAAAGACTGCATAAATCCAGTAACATCTTCGTTGAGCATGCCCGGCATGTTGCTAGGATCTAATTTCCAGCCCAGGCCTAATAGCCGTGCGCTTACTATAGCGGGCGCGGTTATGACCATCGGTTTATCAATAACCGGATGCTTGACTAGAGAAAAGAAGTTTGACTAGTCCAGAAGATTGGGCCGGGGCGACTTCAAAGGTTTGTGATTCAGGTAGAGCCTCCTCTTCTCCTCCTCACACAAAGAAGACAAAAGGAGGCTCTGATCGATCGCAGGGTGGTGGCCCACTTACACCAGCCCACGGTCTGGCCAGTACCTTACGCATGCGCTCGGGCAGTAGCAGCCATGGACAGTTGTTTTGCCCTTATTAGGGCTCATCAGCATGGCATACTCGTTGGACCTCTGTACGGTCAAAGAACTGTTTAGTTGTATGTACCGTAGCTAGTTGCAATTGGCCATTTCTGAGTTTCATTTGTCATTTTGAAGTAGCACTTGAGACTGATTCGGTCAGTTGTGTTGAATTGCATCATGGGATAGTTTTCACCCAGTTTCCTCCGTAACCAATAACCAATAGAGAAGAGAAGTGTCTCGTCACAAAAATTCAAATTTGTGAAATGATGGGATTGGTTAGCACATTCACAAAGAACAACATAAAAAAAAAAGCCCCTTAGCCAAAAATCAGCCTGCTAGTGCAAATTGGGTAGTGGGTAGATATAAGAACCAGTTTGCTCTGATGACTCTATACAAATCCTTATAAAATTGCCTCAGACCTAAACGTTAACGATCCAGGCCTATCTTAGAAGGATTTATATGAAGTCATCAGGGAGTAACGTTGGTTATATCTCCTCACGAATTTGCACCAACAGGCTGATTTTTGCAAAGTGAACATTTTCACCTGGTTCTTTCTGGATATTGACATAAACTGCTCAGCTCGTAGGATCTAAAGAGGACCTGATCAGCAAAAATATACAAACTTCTTTAGATCCAATGTTCTGCGGCATATTCGTTTGTTGTCCTTTGCAGTTCATGCCAATTTACTTTATATTTTGGGGCCTTAGGTCTATTTTATTTTATAGATCTGATATGCTGTACATTTTGCATGGTTTGTCCAGGCATGTTCGTAACGTTGGTTTTGTCCGTCCTATATCTTCTTTTCGAGACATCAACGCAACACTTTGACTCTTACCCTCCTAGAGACACGTGATATGACGTGATTCTGTGGGTGCTAGAGTTCAATGTGAGGGCTTAAATCACAGCGAGCGGGTAATTTTCAGCAGAGTTTCTCCGTTTGTTACGCCGTCCTGACGAGCCACAATAATGGCGAAACAACTGTCGACGGTCTTAGCCGCGCTCTGTTTTGGGTTCTTTAGGTGTCGTGCAGTACGATCAGCTTTGCAGATTTCAATGTCTTCTTTCTGGAGATGCCAACCAATCCCATAATTTCAACACTTCTCTTTTTTATAAAAGAAGCACTGTCGGCTCCTCAACAGTCCCATAGTGTAATTCGACACAACACCAACCCAGTCCGTGCGCAACTTCTCAACGTCCATTACTAATCAGCTCCAATTCAAGTGGTTATGTCCTTTTTTCCCTCCTTAGAATTATATTTAGTGCTCAAGAATATTTTAATGCTATTGCCAATGTATTTACATTTAGTTTCCTAACGAATTTTCACTCACGGCTTTATTAGCTGTTCTCGAATGCTCCCCACGATGATTAAATAAAGGGATTGTCGGTGATCGTGATGTACTGTTGAGACTGTGGTGAAGAAAAACCGTGCTAACTTTACGTGGAAAATGCTAGCTATAGTGTGTCTAGCCTATGTAGCTGCTGGGGTTTAGCACTCGGAGATGTTGTGGTAAGGCCGAGACAGGTAAGCACATGACAGGCCCGGATTCGATACTGGGTTGCTGATTTCCTGGTTTTCAGTAGCAACACATTCAATAACGTAGTTCAAAGTGTCTTGAAATAGTATCGCTCCTATAGAAAAGGGAAAATTGATTCGCCACTCACGAAAATTCCTGCGCGAAGAAGCTACGCTGTAGAACTGCAGCTCCTCCCGGCAAGTCTCCGCTAGCGTCGCACAATGTACCATTTTGGCCATTTTTGTCACGCACAAACATCTCTATTTCTCTCCTGGTTATAAGAGAGATAACCCATCACGTTCAAAACGCCAGCGGTAGAAATGGCCACGTGACTATTTTTCCAGTCATTTACAACGTTTGCCGTTTTTAACTTTTAAAAATAGGCAATCTTTTAACAATCAATAAATACGTATCTTTCTTTGTCACCATCGTCGAATACATAACCACTCGCTTGGATGGAGACTTCTATAGTCGGCAGTACACGCGATGTCTAACCTCTGTGCTGTTTTATAAAGCGAAAGCAGCTGGTTGCGGAAGACCGTGTTGAACTAGACTAAACATTTTAAATTTCTCTCCCATCTCTGATTCACTTGTCAGCATTCTGTAGCCGCTTTGAAGCTCCTCTGCTTGAGTGGGATTCGCGTTCTGAAGAAGAACCTTACAATAGATCAAGATAAAAATAGTCAGAAATTAAGCCAAGCTCTTCATTGGTTTTTGACTCTCTTATAAGACTGTAAGCAGTCCCAGGACAGAATGCATACACCCCTGCTATCACTAAATCACTTACTTTCATTCTCATATCGATACCCATTTGCTGAAGAAATGACTTTTGTGTCACTGGTCCGAACGTCTGAACTGTGAAGTTTTAAATCAAAGATTGGGATTAAAACTTACCTACAGTTTTTAACATAAAATGCTCGTGACAGGGCTATTAACTGAGTCTTTTGTCGGGAACTTCACTTATTACTAACGTGTTCTGGTCTTTTACAAAACGATTTGTTTAATAGAAGGTAAAGTTTGGCGGAAAACTTTTTCAAACAAATTATGGGTCACGCTTGTCACGCACGGTTCCCGTCTTCTTTCCGTCCTATTGCGTTAGTAAACTAATATCAAATAAGCGCATCTCTTGACACCCTTCCTAATCGAGTATACAGTATAAGTTTGTCTTCAATGAATGTAGCATAACATGCCTGTACAATCTCTAGCGAATGACCCACTTGAGGGCAACACACAATCGGATGTTTACAACGCGGGCCTACTTTGATTGCTTTGACACTAGAAGGTTTACGCAACAGGACAGCAAAAAAAGAGGACGGCAAAACGTTCGCGTGTGGCAAGCGTGACAGGGCTATTACCTGCGTGTTTGTCGCAAACCCAATTTGCAGCTCAACCATTGGTCAAGCCGTTCCTCGATTTGCGCGCGCCGTCTTAACTGCCGTCGCGTCATTAGCTTGCGAGCAAGCTCTCCATTTCGATTGGCGAACAAATTGAGGCGCACGAGAAAACGCCAGCGAGCGGCGAAGCTCTTTTTGTGTGCCGCTGGCGCGTGACTTCTCACGATATCCCTTAAATGGAGAAATTGCTAGCAGGTTATCGCGTTGTGCTTGCTAAATCTGCCTTATATTGCATGACGATACCGAAAGAACTTACTTACAACAGAACCTTCAAAGCCAAGAATACGCACCACACACACACTTTTGGGTACATACCGGAAAAAGAAGGTTCTAGTTTTCCTGTTTGTTTTCGGTTATTTAAAACAAGGAAGACAAACTTAACGCAAGGGGCACACATACACCAACCCACGGCCTGGCCAGTACCTTGCGCATGCGCACAGCCGTCTTTGAGACACGGGTTCGCCCGTTCAATGACCCGACGGCTATGCCATGCTGATGAGCCCTAGTGAGGGCGAAACAGCTGTCCACTGCTGCCACTGCCCGGGTGATATGGCTTTGCGCATGCGTGAGGTACTGGCCAGGCCGTGGGTTGCTGTATGTGTGCCCCTTGCTTTAAGTTTGTCTTATTTAAAACAAAGACAAATGTCATCTTGAGAAAAGAGAAATAAGCACTCCCACCCCCTCCTCCCTTCCCTTCGAGTTAGTGTCTTCCTCTCGACTCCAAAGATGAAATAACCCTTCCGGCCGCTAATTCGAGATCACGGTTATTCATAGCAACTTTAACCAGAAACTGTAACAACTGAATTTTCGTTAAAACGAATCGGTTTCATTTTCTATAGTATTTGTTATTAGGGAAGTATATATTTGGAAAATCCACCGAATTGAAAAAATAAAAGAGGGAGAGAAAAATTAATGCCAACCTTTTTCACGCGTAACGCTTCTGAGGTAGGCAAAATCAACATTGGCCGTCACATCAGCACTGCCAGGATCGTGCAGAACTTCGTGTAATTTATGCTTTTTAAATGCCTGAAAATACATAATAACTGTATACAGTAAAAAACCAGCGAGTAATAACCTGGTTTTTAAGAACCTGTTAGGCGAAAATTTGCCAGTTAGGCCCTCTCTATACAAGAGCCTGTTTAGCCTAAAATTTGAAACAGGTTCTTATTTTTTAAAAGCTGCGAAAAAAATTCTGCACACTTGGGCAAATAAGATAAGTCAACATTTAGGATCCTCTTTAGAGCCATATTCACATAGGTGCCTTATCACTCCAACTGCAGTGTAAATTCCAGAGTTGAAAATCGAGCTGAATACCACCAAATACTCTCAGCTAAAATGTATGGTTTTCTTCTGAAAATAAAGACTTCTTTAAGGACCTAAATAGACTAAATTTGTGTGCAAATTACTATTTATGTAAGAAACTGGTAAGGCTATCTAGGAAAAATACGGGTTCTTACTCGCCGGTTTTTATTGTATATTAGTCTAGAAAAATAGTTGCTATTTCCCGAGCAAAAATTGTAGATTAAAGAGAGACTTGTTTAGAAGTTTGCAACCATTTCGTCCAAGGGCAATTTGCTTAAAGGCGATTCGATAATAATAATAATAATAATGATGGTTTATTAAAATACACATGGTGGCATAAAAACTATGAATTACAATGTGCTTACATAAGTTACAACTAAAAATAAAATTACATTTGTTTCAGAGGGACTGGGATTACAGGCTATTACATTGCTGGGAAAAAACTAGAACCGAAGCGTTTTGTTCTATACTGGAAGCGGCTAGAACTGCTACTGTTCCTAAGATGGTAAGAGTGGCATTCGGATCGCACGGGAGGGAGAAGGCGGTGCAGCTGGCCATTCGGGAACATTCGCCTGTTCTTTTATGAATTCGCCGAACCTGTTGACCGGCTCATCAACACAATTTTTTTTATCTGAACCTACGTCAACTGATTATTACATTGTATGTTCTCCAAACATCAATTAATTAGCCACTGCACGCTGAGTATCGAAGTACGCAAAGAGGAACTGATTTCAAAGGGTATTCTGTAGTTACAATTAAGACTTAAAAATGACTGCAATCCACCAGATACTGCCTACAGGCAGGCGAAAGGATGTTTGCTGAGGCGAATAGCCATTGGGTTCTTGCAGACTTTTCAGTTTACTCATACCCTAGCCACAAACAATTATACAAGTTTTCATGTGTGGCTTTTGGCAAGAAAAGCCTCTCATTTCAGGTTAATATGCCAAAGTATGGCACCCCTATACCTACAGAAACATTTAAGGAAGTTTGTCTTTAGGTTTAGGTTTGTCTTTTTGTCGCGTTCCTAAGGTCGTTCCCAAAAGTTCGTGTAAATCAGCTTCCAGAGGAATCGACCGGTCTCCGTATTATTCACCACAGAATTGTGAACCTAAGATTACCGGTTGCCGAGCTGCCACTTACCCTCAAAGTGTGTCTTGTGCTTCCATCTTCACCGTAATCAACAATCAGGGCACATCCTCCTTGCTTTGCTATAGCACCACTCATATGTTCCACAACAGACCCACCAAGTGGACACACTTCTATCTGGCTGCATGATGTTCCAGGAGGGACCAATGTCTGTGAGGCTAATGTAGGGCCAGGAGCTAAGACAAATCTAAGTCCAGGGGACCTAAAAATGAATCATGAGTGAGGCCTTTAATTTGCATTAAGGGTTAGGTGAGCGGCCAGGGTCTTGGATATATAAACCTCAGTAAGGAGGAACTAATAAAAATGATAAGCTTGTGATAAACGGTGACCGGTCGTTTCGCTAACGTCCCGTTCGCTAACGTCTTTTGTCGTTCCACTAAGAAGCGGCGAAACGAGCACTGCGCACGTATATTCTTCCTTCTCTCAGCCATGATACAAAAAAGTGCGATACGCATGTATATTTCTCGTTCTTTCAGCCACTGATCAGGCGAAAGCAGTCAGGGAACTTACCCAACACGTCTGCGAAACGACTTCAGAAGTTAGCGAAAAGGACCTTGGCGAAACGACCGTAAACCTGATAAACATTGATGGAAACAAGTGATCTTCTCAGTTAAGTGTGGGCCAGGGACTAAGACTCCTAATTTAGAACAGTAAACCCTAATTAACTGATGAATAACTCATGAAGAAAACTAATGCAAAAGAAATTCCTGCTTAATGACTATAAAGCTAAATGAGTATATCTATCTGACAAAAACACAGTTCCTGATTAAGAAACGCTGAGTTGCGTTTCGTCAAGACTAACACCCCGATCAAACCGATCAAACAAATCCTCAATAGTTGAGTCATATTCAGAAACATTGGTGAGACCATACATACCAAGAAGTCCAAATGGTAACCTGAGATCAGGCTCAATTTTCGTTTCGCTTTGTAATAACATTCCGGCGGGCAAGGCGAAACAAAAATTAGCAGTAGCCGTTAGAGAGAATGTATGAGAACCGCTAAAATTGGGCCTGATCTCACGTTAGTCAAATGGTCACAGGCAGCCTTTTTCCTCAACAAATTTGAGCTCAATCAGCGAGATGTAGACGAGTTATACAGATGCAACAAAGTTAACGAACGCTTCAAAATTTTTGAGAAGGCTGAGAAAAAGTTTAAACTTGTTTAATCCCATCTCTTCTTTCTCCTAGAGAATATCTTGCGTGGCTTATCACGCCGACAAACCAATAGCAAGTTCAATACAATCATGAAATTCATAAACTTTAAAAATAATAGTAAATATAAGTCCTGAAAACAATAAACTAACAGTTTACAAACCCACTGCCTGGTTCGACATCTACAAGAACTTCTCTCCAACCTTGATCTGTTTTCTGAAAGATAACAAACAATAAATATAATTCTTCAAATTATATGCTACACAGGATGCGGAGAATTTGACAATGTTGATCCTAGCTGTTTGCAGGACATTGATCGCAGAACAAACGCCTCCGATAGTGGTGTCCCAGCACCCATCCTTGTGTCCCCTTAAATTGACTATGTAACCAGGATATTGCTGTTATAGATCAATTCTGTGCCAAGAGTCATTGCTAAGTGTCTTTACCCATACAAAAAAAAAATGGTCCTGTAGAGTTATAAAGAACATGTTAAATGAATTTCATCATGGGTAGCCTGCGTTGCAGCCTGCCCACGCACTCGTCTAAACCATTTGTATAGTCCGCTCTATATAGAAGGTTTAGAGCGTCTGCGACACAAAGCCTGCGTGGCAGGCGTTCGAAAGGGAAGGGAAGGGAATAAAACTCCCTTTCCCATCCCTTTCAAACGTCTGCCACGCAGGCCAGCGACACAGGCAAGTCATGGAGATTACTAACCAAAATACTTTGTTGGTGATTTTTGCAGACACAGCGATTAAACTTGAAAAAACGTTTTCGCAACAACCTGTCAGTGCAGAAGTTGTTGTTAGAGTAAAAAAGAGTTGTGGATCATTTTGACAATTCGCAATAATTATTTACTTGGACCCTCACGGTGACTTCTATTGCGCTAGCGATCAGGAATCCTTTTTTAAACCTTCTTTGTTTTGCTGCAAATAAATCTCCGCGGTTCATAGTTATATTTCCTTACACGCGCACTCAAGAGTGAGAAAACAGGCCTGTGAGTAGGTTACATGACTTCCAAACAAGTTGTTGAACAGTCAGTGACCATCATCAACAAAGGATCCCACAAAAACTGTGCGACTGTTCATGACTGAATTTAGAATAAACTTATGTACTGCCAGAAATGTTGTGTAGCTGATAACAGTGAAATTAGTCATTTGAAGGGTGTTGCATTCAAAATTTACCTGAGCATAATTATGGTAAATGTTCATCGAATACAACACACCCCCTTCAACCGTTCACACAGCCCAGGCTTCCTGTGTCACGAACAGTCCTATTCAGGGTAAACTCTGGAACACTCCTCCAGACAATCATATGACTTCTGGGCTCGAACTACTTACATAAGTGAGTTATACAAACAAACCTGAAATTGGTGAATTGGAAGAGCATCAAAGAACTCATGAGCCAAGAAAAAACAATTTCCTTCAACAGGGACATCCTCAACTGCTCTGTACCATGCCACAGGAATACCAGCCTGTGTTAGGCACCTTCTATAACACAGTGCTGACATATCCTAAGATTGAAATCACAAATTTTTTTCTTTATATTAAGCAACATGAAAGAAAAAAATACTGCTTAAATAAAAGATTTACAGCCTTGTCCCTCGGACAAGCACTATATTAAATTTGGTTGTCCCATACCCGAGAGTTCTTGTCCAAAAAGTTTTGCCAGATTTGTATTAAAAGTCAAATGGCGCTCATTAAATCAAATGAAATGGTTGCGGAATGGCAAAGTTAAAAGGAATATTTCACCTTATTTTGTCAAGTATGAGGTTTGCTTTTATGACTATAAGATAAATTCTACTGTAATTTGAAGTCAATTTTTAACTGTTTCTGTACACTTTTTCTATTAAAAATGTGCTTTTCCCAAGAACAAGTCATGTCAAAGGTTTACATGTCTGAACTAAATTTCTACCTGTCCCGGACAATTAAACATAGGTTTTGGCACACCCTAAGGGGCAGATTAGTAAAAGGAACTATTAGTGTTTACTTCATCACCATGCATCCACAGGAAAAAATGACAGATTCCCATTTTTTGATATTTTAGGGTATTTAAAGAATACCCATAAAAATCCCAAATTTGGCAAAGTGAGACAAGTCCCAACCAGGGAATTCCCAACCAAGTTCCCTGATTGGGACTTGTCTCACTCTTCCAAATTTGAGATTTCTTTAAATATCCTAAAATATCCAAAAATGGGATTCCGTTATTTTTTCCTGTGATATCTGATGCACATCCTATTTATTACACTGAAAATAACAAATCAAGGTCATATCAGTCTGCAGTAATTTTTACATAAATAATTTTTTTGACATACTTAATAGAGGATAGTGAAGAGTGAAGACAGGGCAATTATTTGCTAGTAAATTTTAATTCTTGGTCATCATCATCGTCAACTGCTTTAAAACTATATTTTGATGCAAGTGCTATTAAAGCAAAATGAATAACTTGCAATTTTTCATTAAGTAAGAGGTTTTAATAATAATAACTTTCATTTTTGAGTGAGTTGTTGCAGAATGAGATACTTTTAAGATTAAGATATTGTGCTGTACCTCGTTTGCCTGTAGTCTGTCATCTGTTGCATCAGGTTGTCCTTCTTTCTTGCCTTCTTGAATGGATAGTAATTTGCCAGTCAGTGTCTGTTCTTGGATTTTACTCAAAGCTGGACTTACTTCAACAAGGTGTAAAGAAATTTTACCATGCAGCTCAGGAAACTTTTGGAATACCTAACATCAAAACAATAATTCAACTTCGTAAAATTGCATGGACTGCATTGTATAAAGGGTTTGTTTATTATTTGTCTCATGATCAGTCACTTAAATATTGATTGGGACTTTTTTGACTGCGAAAAGGTTGCTCCAACTTTTTTTAAGTTTTGATGCCATGCCTGCAAAAATAGCTGAGGCCATACTGAAAAATTATCACGCCAAGTTCTTCCTGATAATATCTTCCTGGTGACTTCTTGATAAGTCTACAGGTAGCATTTTGAGTATTGATTAAGTATTTATTAAGTGATGACTTCAGCACAGAATTGACCTAAAACAGCAATATTCACATGACATGACACCCTTATCTCGTACCATTCTGGCCCCAGTTGTTCAAGAGGTGGATAGCGCTATCCGATAGATAAATCTCTATTTAGTGGATAGCGCAATTGGTTTCCCAAATACTTATCCACTGGATAGTGATTTATCCAATGCATAGCCCTACCCAGCTTTTGAACAACCAGGGCCTGATGTATGGTTTCTAAAAGACAATTCCCATTATTAGAAAGATCCCTGGTGCTATTTAATTTGCAGAAGCCATTTTATTGTCTTTGGAATTTGAGGGGTTTATAAAAATGGAAAGGGGTGTATTTTCAGAATTTCACAGTATCCTTTAAGAAGAATAAGTGCTTTAATTAGTATATGAAGGGTGATTAACCCAATCAAAGTTTGGTCAACCATTGCATTATTAAAGTATTAATTACTAACCCTTAACATATCTGAAGCCAGGGTTCCTCTACCAGGTCCAAGCTCAATTAGCTGGACTTTCTTCTTTCCTGACAGTATCCACTGGTTTACAAACCATACACCTATAAGCTTTAAAAACACAATATATATAAAACAAAATCCTTTGGTGTGACCTTTCAAGTGAAACGTCTACTACCAAGTACTTTCATATGGTGGCTTATAATATTAATGCAAAAATAAACAGAATCTTAAAGGGAGAAATCCCAAAGTTTGTGTGACCTTTAAACTGATGAAATGAACCTTTTTAGAGCCCTATTTTCACATGGTATTAGTTTCCGGGCATTGTTGATATGATATTTCTCAAACTTTATTCAACACTGTGATTCTCTTGAGAGTAAAACGGTTAAAATGGAGATACAACCTTAATAAGTAATTTAGATTCCAACACAAATAGATGGATGGAGTTTTATTTACGTTTAGTCAAGCAATACTTAACTGATACTATACCTCTCCAAAAACCTGGCTAATTTCAGGTGATGTAATAAAATCACCAGCCTGACCAAACACATCACTGTTCATGTAGTACCCCTGGCATGAAAATATAACAAAAAAGCAGTCACAAAGAGTTCAATGGAAAATCAAAAACTGTCAGCCCAAATAGTGATTGCAATCACTTAATGAAAGGTGGTCATTATGAAAAGTTTTAATGATAGGTCACTACTGGGAGGTGGTCGCTTACAGGAAGTGATTGCACATGAAGGTGCGATTGTATTTTATTTGTCTCAGTCTAGGAATAAATTTTTATAACCACATCAGTAAAGGCACAAAGATAATGGAATCAAAATAAGTTTATTGCAATGATCATCAAGACGGGTGCAAGCATGACATACACAAAACAGGTTGTGTACTTTAACTTACTGAGAGTGGATTTGTTAAGACTTCTTGCATAAAGGCAGCAACTGTTAGTGGACCTGATGCCTGTGAATGCAAAGACTGGTTTATCACTACAGATAGCTCCAAACTTACATGAAGAATAAGGGCTAATAAAGCCAAGGATAGTAATCCTCCTTTCCATCTGCATGGCCATGACCTCCGATGCATAAATAGTAGCCTTTTAGCAGGCTTGCTTGTTTGGGTCACGTGCGAATATCTTGGCGGCCATTCTTCTCACCAGCTTTGCCGGCTCTGCTGCCAAGATACTCACGTGTTCCCCCAAACAAGTGAGCCTGCTAGAAGGCTATATAAATAGAAGACCTCATTATTAGGTCAAAGTGAAGGCTTGACTTGGTTTAGGGCAGTGCAACAGTTAGTGGGCTTAGGATTTAGAAATCAAGCAGAGATCTGGACCAGCATCATTTTTTGGAATTGAAAAGTGGTATAAAGAATCAGAGTTGCTAATTTATAGTTGTTCAGTAGTCTGGAATAGGGTAGACTTATTTGCTGGTTGGTCTCAAAAGGGTAGCAGTATTGTTTTTGAACATAATGCAGGTATCGATGTTTGGACAAGGGGGGCAGGGGGTAGGCGCAATATCCTTTAATTCTTATTAAACAAAGCTCCACCAGCTTCAAACAGCTCCTACCAGCAGAATTTCATGGGGGAAAACGCTAAAGATAATAATTTACCTCCTCCATTTAACACTTGCTGAGGTGGCATAGTCCTCTAGGAGATAACATTACATGTTGTAGGTCAGGGGTCCGACTTCCAGCCTAGAAAATTTTATTTTTTTGCTGTTTTGTTTTGTTGGTTTGTTTGTTTGTTTAGCCATATGTTTTTTTACCTATTGCCTGGTTTCAATTTATTCATATGGCTGCCCTGTCGCAGCTTCACTAGGTGTTGCGATAAAGGTATTTCTAGTAATAAAGTATCCCTCTCTGGGGTTAACAAAACTGCAGTTTGGGGAAAAAATTGAGGTTTAAATCCCCAAAGAGGAAGTTTTTAAATGCCACACCTATGCCCGAATCCTCCCCCACCCCCGCTCTCCGTCTCTCAATATTCACACCTGCATAAAGAGTGGGATTTCCCTCAGTCAATTTTCCCAGCTGATATGTGTAAATAAATCATTATGTTACTTTTTAGATTTAACTTATTAGTAATCTCCACATTTCAATAAGGCCTTCAAGCTGTGTAAGAACATAGACCTTTCTGCTAATAAAGCATTCGAAAAATTTTACCTTGATCCTATTACCCAGATGTTCTTGAAGAGTGGAGTTCAATGGACTGCTTACCAAGGAGACACATCGATACAACCTGAATCCACCATCTGATAGAAAGAAGTGGAATATTGAAATAAAAAACGAAATCTGTTAGACTTAAAAAATCACCGGAAAAAAACAATTAGACCTGCGACACGTTTGGAAATTAGCCTTGTTTTGATCCAACTCAAGCGAACAGCTGTGTTGGCGGCCATCTTGGCCGCTCAGGGCATTGGAAGACTGGGACTGATTTCAACGCCCTGGGACCCTGGTCCCCAGTCAGAATTTCAAAACCCGTCGTTTCTCGCATTTAAAAGAAAGCCATGTCCTTGTTGCTGTTTTGCTTTTTATTTGCTCTTTTCTTTGCCACAATTGCAATTTACCTTTTTCCTCCACTGCGGAGCCTTGTCCCAAGCTACCATTTCATTTGCCTTAAGTGTCGCCTGTCGAAATTTTATCGATAGTGTGTATCGAGGCCCTCAGGGAAAGACAGACGGTTTTTGCGCTAGCGAAAAGCAGAAAAGAGCGCGGTCTCTGCTAGCAGGGACAAATTGCGTGAGAGACACCAATAGGAAGACAAATAACCTAGAGTCAGTAGCCGAGTAATCGGCTCCTGCTAGAGTCCAAAACTTTTTTACCCTTCGCTTCCTCATTGAAGAGACAAACATTTTCTTTCTGTCTTTCAAAGAGAAGTCAATTTCGCATTGTTCTCTCATGGCGTAACCGACACTTCCAATATACAGTGAAACCTGTATTAAAAGGACACCGTATTAAGCGGACACCCTCTATTAAGCGGACAGTAGCCGAAGTCCCCAAATTTATTTCCCTTATTTACTTTAAATGAAACCCTTATTAAGCGGACGCGGACACCTAAAAAGTACCTGAAATGGTCATTTCTATTGTTGCCAACCTGTATTAAACGAACACTAGTAATCAAATTCCTCCACCCAACATACCAGACACCAGAAATGCGAAAGACTGCCACCCACAAATTTTTCAATTTTTACATTAAAAAAAACGTGACTTGACGAACTTATTTGATCAGTTTCACAGTGCAGGATTGTTTTCTATTTCGTTTTGTTTGTATAGAGCTTGTTTCACTCATCTGATTTCTTCAAATTTGAGTTGCAATCCATGTTTATGGTACTATGATTAATTGGTTCACTTTGATAAAGAAATTAATGCAAACGTCTATCGTCATAGTCTCTGGGAGTATTATAAACGCTTCCTCTGTTCATTTGAATGGCATTTGACATCTTATATGACGTTATCTATCGAAACCTGTATTAGGCGGACACCCTATATTAAGCGGACACTACAGAATTCCCCGAGGGTGTCCGCTTAATACAGGTTTCACTGTATAATTGTGATTTACAAACCTGCGCAACTTACGCCCCCGTCCAATCGATTCGTACGTGAAAAAGCTTGTTACGCAGGCTAGTGATTTACTAATATTTTATATTGCACTTCCAATAATGTAATTGCATTGATTTTTTTATTGTTGCTATTTTTTATTGTGCTTCCAATAATATAATTGCGGTGAATTGTAAATTCTCTTCGGTTGCGTAGCCTTAATTAGAAAAAAAGTGATTTCTGTTTGCTATTATTTTAGCTGCTGATTAGTTGTGAAATGCTTTGAATGATTATGACACCAAGTATTATATTTCTTAGAGCAATCACCTAGGGGCCAAACCACCCCCTACATGCATGTTTCACGGAGACCTAATTTTGGTTATTTTCAACATTATTAACTTTTGATGTTAGCTCAAATTGATGTCCACTTCAATGTAAGCCGAAGAATTTCTCAAAATAGCACATAGTGACGTCACAAAGAATGACGTCGCAAAACCAGTGAAGTTAAATTTTATATTATTATTTAAGCTCATCTGAAAGTGGGTATAAAGGGGAGTAAAACACTGAAAACCGTTCATCGCAACGATTTTTTTTGTTTCCGAGTTATGGCCAGTTAGAAACAGATCAGTGTTCCCCCATGGAACTATAGTTTTCCATACTTTCTTTGTAAAAGTAATGTCCTTGGAATTTTTTTTTCTGTTGTTGTTGTTGTTTTTTTAGCTGAGCTGGTATTTTTGGTAAAAAAAAAAACTTCTTACTGTCCCTAAAAATCGCATGGTTTTAATTTTTCCATTTTAGCCTCCAGGACAATAGTAATTGACAATAGTAAGGCAAAAGAATTATTGGTCACGTGACCTTTTATTACGTCACAAACCTGCTGTTATGGTTCCAGGAATAACAGAAAATCTTTTCTTCATAATTTTCTTTTCCCTTCTACTTTCTACATTTAATACAACCAATGTGCAACGTCGATTGCACTTGACTATTTAGACAAAAAGACAGTCTAATTTAGGTGTATTACCGAAGGGGGGGTCCCATTTATTGACTCTATATTTTTCCAACTTCAAAAAGTCATATGTATTTTTCGTATGTACATAATGTTTTCGGTTTTCAGTTTCTCTTGACGCGCTATCTTAAACAGTAGAAGAATTAAAACTATTCCAAACTTTAATTTTAAGAAAAATATGACGTCATCAATAATGACGTCATAGTGACAAGTTCTACAAACAAGTCTTTCAAAATGATTGGCATGTTGTGTTATATTAACCTACCAAGTTTCGCAAGCAGACGATCAACATCAACAAAGTTATTAAAAATCTCACCAAAAACCCAATTTTAGATGAAACCCCTGGGGGTGGTTTGGCCCCTACGTGATAGTATGTTTAATAAGTGCAGAGTAGAATTAGTATCTTGGTATAAAAATAGGCTGTTTAGTATGCGAGCCAGTCTTAGTCGTTATGCTTCCTTTTCTGCGTGAAAGTTTAATTTTATATTTTTTCTTTTATTATTTTTTCGACCGCACAGGAAGGTCGTGGAGTTTTTGGGCTTGGTTCCTACCCAGATTTTCTCTATTTTTCCCACCCTTCTAGTGCTTTTTTTGTAACGGTTTTTCCTGGCCTCAGAGTGTCTCTTGTAGATACGTATCCAAAACTCCGTTAACTTTCCTTTGTGTATTCTTTGATGCCAGATTCTTCACAATTTCGTTTTTAAGGCTCAATTTGCTCTCCAAATATAGCGTGGTGGTCTACTACCAAGACTACGGCACAACAAACGAGAAATGTTATTAGTTGTTAGTTGCTGGCATGGAAGCCTGTTGTTAAGAACAGAATTTTAAAACCAGCTGGATTGTTGAGTGTTTGAAGCATATTTTAAATATTCTAGCTCTCCAGTTCAAGGCAGTTTAGGGTTAAGGAAACCCGCTCAATTCTGTTGTCTACCACCTATATTTTACCAAATATTACTTCTTCCTAGCTTGAAATCCTCTCTTTTCGTTTTTCCGTTTGAAATGCATTAAAAAAAGAAAACGAAAAGGAGAGAAAAACTGTTCTGGGCTAGTGCTATTTTTCCACGTAGGTCCTGACTAGTCCGGTCTTTTCTTGGTTACAAGACCCAGTCAGCTTTTTTCTGTCCTTTTTTGCACGTGGTATTAAGAGTTGGAGGAGAAAAGTTACCCTCGAAAGACCTCGGAGGTCTGTTATGATACTGATCGGTTAAGTACAGTGAAACCTCGATGTATTTTTTTTATATATATTTTACTATTACTGGGGTAAAGAAAACCGTTCGCTATACAGAGGTCTTCTTTATATAGAGGTTCGTTATATCGAGGTTCCACTGTAGTCAATCCCACCCTTTAGTTGTCACTGTTTGATGAACGAGGCGTCAGCTCCGAGGGGTAAAATATTCACAGCCGCTTCGTCTGTACAAGGTCTGATACTAAGAATCAAAAATAAACAGATCCCGGC